GGGGGGGGGGGGGGGGGCATCGAGTTACTTGAGAAAAACAGCATTCTCGCGAGCCAACCGGGCGGCTGCCGGGCACGTACCGTCACCGGAGTCGTAGCTGTCGCTCGAGCCACTGCCGCCACCGTGGTTCCAGGTCAGACGACGACTAGCGTCAGCTTCGGTACCTGTTGGACCGTCCAGCTGCACGCTCTTCATCCAGTTGGCGGGCGAGAGATGGTGTCGGAGTTTATCGCGAAAGGTCTCTGGGGTGCCAGCGGCCTGAGGAAGGATAGAGAACAATGCACGCCGGGAAAGGCAGAATGGGGAAGACCGCAGTGCATGCACATAAAAGGATTCAGCTTAAGAGCAAAGTTGATATGACGGGTACATTGTAAACTGGATGAAAAAGCGCTGTCATTTTCAAAGTGTGCCGTTTTTTGGAGGAAACCACACGTACGTAGAGTAACTGGCAGATATTGGCAAAGCGGTATCCGACAACACTGACGACGAGTACGTTACGATAACAACTAGGTAGACAAGGGCCTCGCCGGAAATCTTGTAAAAAAATACAAAGGAAAAATACCGTTGGTGATACGCTTACTGTGTGTTTCATTCTTGATCGATCAAACTACCGTATAATGTAGATGCGCACTTCAACTTGGAACCATGCATCAGATGCAGGACAGAAAGCGGGTATACCGTAAGGCTGGGGCAGGCCGCAACGCGGACTTCATCGAAGCTCGCGTGAAACATGCTGCATGCCCAGAAATACATGTGCGGACATAAGACAAAACAACAGAATCATGTTCGCCGAAGCAAATCTGACGTGGCATTACTCACGTAAAATGATTTACATCATAAATAAATTTTGAACTTGCATGGTAGACGAGCTTTTTTCCCCTTTTTCTGGGGTCCCTGACGGGCAACGACCTTCTCTAATTTCCAAGCTGTCCAGACAGCGGGCTTGCGTCCAGGCGTCGAAGACGGGCATCAGACGCCACCCGCTGCATGTCCGTTCTTTAAGGTGGGTCTTATCGGCAGAATAGAAGCTATAAATCAGAATCGAGTTTCAATTCACCAGAAAGAGCCAGCGTGCACCTGCTAATTGGTTGGAATGCGTTCTTCGGGATAAGCGAACGGATCGTCCTGTTCTTAAACTTCATCTCGAAAAAATGGCCAGATGATAAATTTGGCGTCGACTATTGCCAAACGCAACGAACTTCGGGTGGACGTCGGGTTGTTGGGAGCGTGCTGCGGCGGTTGACGTTTTTCATCTCGCACGCTGCGCGCCCACGTGCGCGCGGATTGTACACGCTACACCACGCACGCCCACCAAACAAGCAGAAAGGTGATGTCACAGAAGGCGAACGGCGACGGCAGGTTCAACTTGTTGCCGATTTGCCAGGGGTGTGCGCCGAGCAATTGAGTCGGGATTCATGTACCACCCGTGCCATCCGTGGGTTGGGGTACATCACCAGCTCCAGGAGCTGACTCGTGCTTCTTCGTTTTCCCTCGCTGCATCGAGTGGCTGCCCTCACGGCGAGGAGGAGAGCGAGCCAAGATTTTACGAGTGCTGTGCAAAAGGACAAACCGTCGCCCGCAGGTCGCCCACGCGGCTTGTCGGGAATGTTGGGCGTGTTCTCGGTTTGAACCTCTCGGTAAAGTGAGTGGCCCGATATAGTGCCGGTTGAATAGTGCCGGTTGCCGGTATAGTGTATTGCTGAATATTCGATGAGGCGGTTAGTCGGATTTGGCTGGCTCGTTTTGGACTTGAACTGAAACTCGTCTCTGATTCCAGCTTCGATTCGGATGAACGCCGTACATAACATGTGAACTAGTTTTTAGTGGAAGGAAACGAAGTGCTGTACAATTGTATATCTATCTTATCCACCAGCAGCGCGGTTAAATGCCCCGCGCGGCGCGCAAAAAAAAATCTTCATGTTGTACACAGGACACGTTCACGCTGTGGTCTCACCCCGCTCAAGCAAGAGCGTGAGAGAAAATTGTCCGCTCAGGGAATCTATCTGTAGGAAAAGAACGATGTGAGGTCACCGAAGACTTGCAATTTACATTAGAAGTACGTCCGTCGTCGAGGCCCGTCCTGTCTCAAATGGACGGTACCACACTGCGTCAGTTGGCGGATCTACTCACTCCCTATCACAACATCATCACGACCGGTTTACTGACCGACTGGAAGCCAACCATTTAGCCGTTGATTCAACTGCAATGCTATTGAATAACAGTAATCATCACATTTATCCACTCGGAAAAACTTTCCCTCACTAAGTGCTCCCTACTGCTGAGAACAAATCTGAGCTGAAAATCCGTTGGGAGTTGGAATCTGCTATACGTGCGTGCGTACAGCAAATCCTGCATGCAGACGATACAACCGGCCGAATAAATGTGCGTTCATGCGACCAGTTGTGCGCTCACAAACCGCACTGCCCTCCGTTCCACCAACCATCAAACCCACCTGCTTGTTCGCAGCTTCGGCAGCAGCAGCAGACTGGGAGGCGTTGGCATCATTCTTCCCGAGGACGAATGGCGCGACAACCCCTAAAAGTAGAAGGCTACTTGATTTATGGCGCACCATGGCCTTCTGCGATACAAAACCAAAAACAAACGGGACGGTGTTGTTCAGATTCCATCGATAAAAGTGGCGAACGCATGGAAGTCACCCGCACCATTCTAGATGAATGTCTGCCCGTTGCCCTGAGATGAGTAGGCTCAAGGGTCTCCGTCCAACCATCAACCAATTGCACTTCCAACTACTGTCCAAAAAGTACCATATTTTCATACTTCTGCATACTTGCGAATAGAAGATAGGAACACTTGACGATAGAGCACGACCATCTGTCAACGAACATGTGGAACAGAATCAATCATTCGCCAATATTCTTCGCATTCAACACATCAGTTCAACGCGTCGTAAGAGATCGATCCACAGCGCTCGAACTCAAAACGCCGGTCAGACTACCACAGACGCATGCCGCAAGCGTGTGTTGCGTTCGACAGGACCAAGAATACAAGGGCCGACACCTAGTCAATAGTCTACATGCATGCATGTCGGATTGCGTGGGGCACTCTTCAATACAGACATGTTTCGCCGGTGGATCCTGCGCTTCTGTGTGCTCGATCAACCACTTTTTTTTGTGGTGGCTTCGAGATAACATTCGTCCAAACACCCCTTCGAGTGGGCCGGTCTTGTCTATCCACTACTAACAACATATTCGCCTGATTGAGAGCGAAGTATCTGATTGAGAGCGAGAGCCAAAAAAAATGAAATTTCGGGTCCAGACGCCTCTTGCCATTTCTTGGCAAGTAGGGGACGGGCTATTCCAAGAAGCGGTGCAAATTGATGGCCTCATCAGCAGCTTCGCGAGCATATGCGTGTCATCGTCATCGGATGCTGCAGCGAGGAGCTAGACAAGTTGCTAGATTTGCCCAGATTGGCTATTTCTGCTCAAACTGTTTCAGGGCGGTATCGCGTCGGGCGGTGGGCTCTGCTGTAGCTTCTGCTCCCCGCTGTAGCTCCACAACGAGAGACTCCCACAGGATGACCAGGGTAGCGGCTTGAAGCTACGGGCTAGCCCTTCAATTCAAGCTACACAGCAAGCTCCACCTCTCAGTGGTAGTCCGGCTACAGCGTATCGCGCAATCTCGCTCTCAATCAGATGCTACGCTCTCAATCAGGCGAATATGTTGTTTACTGCACTCCTCATGTGCGCTCATTCCACGTGGGTACACTTAACTCCTTCATGAAGACGATCTACAAGCTCGGCGGAACATGACAGATGGGGGAGTACCGAACAGAATACAAACTACAAACTACCACGTTCTTCCTCTCACAGTCACAGAACACAATACCCGAGGTTCATAAAACCATGAAGGTCTAGACTATACCAAAGATCGATGTGGAATAGAGTTGAGTGATGCACCCTCGCCCTGATGTGTGCTCTTCTGAACGCCAAAAGTGTGGAGTTCTGGCATGACCGCGCAACTCGGCAGCAACGGGAACTTCGGACAGATCCAGACTATGCTTGTGTGCAGCGTGGCTGCAAGCTGCGACAACGACGGAGCGGGTTTGAAATACAGCAAGTGATGAGCACAGAAAGTAACTCGAGAGAACGCAATATTCTGCTGTGTAAAGCTTGCCTGTAGTCCACCGGGCGGCGTGCCAGAGCGCAGCCTCGGGAGTGTGACGGGTGATTGGGTTGATGAAAATGGTCAAGAGGGGGTCTGTCTCCTGAGGGGGGAAGAGATGGAGCAAAAGACGGAATAAAGAGGCGGGCTCGTCCGCAGCTGACCAGCTGTGCGTGGCGGATGTGAGAGACGGGCGCTGTCCAACGACGTCTCATTGGAGAGCCCAGGCGACAAGCTGGGCGATCCTTTCTTTCTCCGCACGGAATTGCGAGTGTGGATCTTTGTGAAAAATCATGTTCTTTCGGATCCGTTGGAAATCTGCGCTAGGAACCCAACGTCTCTTCTAACTTCACCCCGAGGATATCCGAATGAGCATCGTGCATAGCATCTGCTTCGAGGAACACCAGCTGATCTACACGACACACTTGGTCCTTCGCTCCCCGGTACTTGCCCCTTCTTCATCATGTTGCAGCTGTGTGGTTGGGGATATGTTGACCAGTGCGGGGGCGAAGGAACTTCTTGGTAGTCCACATCACCCACATTTTGTTGGTTGAAATTTATGATGATCGTGGTGGTCTACCTACAATAATGCAGTGGGCACGACCATGCGACAGACTTCCAACAACCGGACGACCCACGGCCTTCGGATTGCTGTAATATCGCACGACCCGTGGCGTCTCTCCATGCAAAGCATATCTTGATGGATCCTACGCTGTTTTCTGCAAAACAGCGTCTCGCGTGTGCTGGAGAGCTGAAGGAGCACCATGTCAAGGGAGCGCCTTTCCTTGGGTAAAAGCGTCCTCCTCTCCGCCGACGCTGTCATGTGTTGTCTTTTGAGTTGTTGGAATTATGGTATTGTGGTCTACAGCAGTACCGCAAGTGGGAGACTTCCCCACGTTCCATGCAGCACAGCCTCAGCGGGATACCAACGTGTCCGCCATTCAAGAACACAAAATACTCCCTGGACTACCAGATCTCGGATTGATGCTGTACCAAGCCTACCGATGGTGGTGCATACTACTAAACTGGACAGCCATTCATCCAGAAAACACCCCGTAACGACGTACAGAGCAGTGTGTCTTTCCACTTGAAGAAATGGAAAAACTCAAATCAAGGGGAGCCTCTTCCTCAAGTGAAAGCGTCCTCCTCTCCGCCGACGCTGTTGTGTGTGTCTTTTGATTGCCATTGAATTATTGAACTAGTCTATGGTATGATGGTCTACAGCAGTACAGCAAGTGGGAGACTTCCCCACGTTCCACGCAGCACAGCCTCAGCGGGACACTAACGTGTCCACCATTCATCCAGAAAACACCCCACGTCACGAGGAGCAGAGCAATGTTTCTTTCCAGTTGAAGTCATGGAAAAATTCAATCAAGGGGAGGCCTCTCCTTGAATGAAAGCGTCCTCCTCTCCGCCGATGCTGTCATGTGTTGTCTTCCGATTGCCTTTGACTTGTTGAATTATGGTATTGTGGTCTACAGCAGTATAGCAAGTGAGACTCCCCCATGTTCCACGCAGCACAGCCTCAGCGGGATACTAACGTGTCCACCATTCAAGAACACAAATACTCCCTGGACTACCAGATCTCGGACTGATGCTGTACCAAGCCTACCAATGGGAGTGCATACTACTATAATGGACAGCCATTCATCCAGAAAATACCCCCACGTCATGACGTAGAGAGCAATAAAAACGATGTTTCTTTCGACTTTTAAGTCAAAACCTCAATCGAGAGGGGGGCTCTCCTTTAGCGAATGCGTCCTCCTCTCCAGCAAGAGATCACTACAATTTTGCGCTACGGTGCGCTACTTCAAGTGTAGGAAAAGAAATACCGTTGTGATTTCTACAAAGTTAATTACCCTCGACCTACACCTGCACAATTCTGCAACATGTAAGACTCGAGAGAGGAGCCCCTGTTTTTTCGGTCGGACGAGCGCTACTGTACTATCCCACACGTTCATCGGGAAATAACAGGCTGGTGGAAATTAAACGCCCGGGGACATGATGTAAATGAGAATCCTCCGCCTTCACTGCGAACCCAACTTCTAGCAGACACCTTTAGTCTCATGATAAGGCAGCATCGCCTATCCCAGGCATACATATAGACTAAGCATGATACAGAACAAATAAACACCATCAAATAGCAAGTACAGCGTACAAACACTCCAATTTCTCTACGGCTTCTGTGTCCTGCAGCATTGGCACGTGCTGGAGTGGAGTGCTAGGTCGGCCTCCTGCCGGAGGAGCTGCTAATACCTCTTGGCTCCCCGTGCTGTGCCCATCTTTTTCGCGCAATCCAGATCGAAAGATAGCCTCGAAATAACAGCGCACAGCATGTTGGCGATCACACACCGCCAGTCCGTGTTGTCCAGCATTGGCACGTGCTGGAGTGGAGTGCTAGGTCGGCCTCTTGCCGGAAGAGCTGCTAATACCTCTTGGCTCCCCGTGCTGTGCCCATCTATTTCGCGCAATCCAGATCGAAAGATCGCCTCGGAATAACAGCGCACAGCATGTTGGCGATCACACACCGCCAGGAACCTGAAAAACACACACGGTAATGTGCACGATAGAAGAGTTCAGCAGGAGAGGTTCAAGCGTGCCGCCAAGAACTGCAATCCATGAAAACGAACGAGTGCTGGATGTGAGGCAACCACAACTAGTCCGAAAGCTATCATTAGTTTGTCCGGGCTAGGGCCGTCGGAACCGAGGAGCAAAAGATGCTGATTCCCCCCCGCCAAGGTCAAAACGAGAAAATTGTCGAAGTTGTCAAGATCGTGGGTTCAATCAAGTCCCACAAGGACACCTTTGAAAATCATGTGTGTTCGTGGATTTTTATCGTTCGACGCTCAAAACCGTAGACGAGACAACGAGGGTTGGCTGGGTCCTCGGTAACAATGCAGGACGGTACGTGGACCGAACACAAGGTACATTACTTGAAACCAGATCGTACCACCTCGGTCAAGAAGGCAAAACAGAGCGATGGGCAAGAGACTGAGGTGACAAGCAATAGCAGCAGTTAGATCTGACAACCAAACGATTGGGAAAGAAAGAAACGCATGCCAGGGGCAAGTCCCCTGCGCACGTTCTGCCACGATTCCTCAACGAATCAATCACAACGGAAGCCATACAAGTAGGTTACGGCAGAACGGCTTCAGGCGAGCACACGCGGTGTTTGCAAGGCGCATACCTCTTGACTGATCCAACGATTCAAGACAGCATCTGAGAGTGACAGCGTACCCTAGGCTTACCTCTGAGGTACATTCCCCCGATCTTGTTACCACGGCTGCCTAGTGCTTGTCGTCGTCAGCCGCGCCATCTGTAAAGGTGACGTCACGAGTCGAGTCGGAGTTGAATTCAAGAACGCGAACACTAACGAATACTCAACGATACTGGGTACTTGACATGAAGTGGCAGCGGCCAATCTCTTGAGTTCTTCCACACTTTAGTCGTGCCCAGGGGGTGATCTTAACGCGGCAGGCGAGGAATGACACGTAGCCTCAACCGCAGCGCAAGTAAAAAAACACGCGTGCCAAACAACCCCTATTTCTCGGGGTCCCCGTAAGAGTAGAAACGGTTAGCCTACGGAAGCACACCGTAAGACCAGACAACTCAACCCGGGAACGCGCAGCAACGGTCAAGAAAGAAAAATAGCATATGAGAGGCCCGCACCAAAAGACGGCATCGGTGCGCCCCACAATCTCATGGCAGGTTGTGGCAACGATGAATATATAAAAAATAAAAACCACGTGTTTTCGCTCCCCCCGACCCATAGCCACTACACTATCAATGGTCTCACCGTCGATGTAGCACGGCGCCGCGAATGCGATGGAGCAGAGCTCGCCGTATTCCTCGATGTCGCTCTCGCAGCACTGGTCCGCCCCGAGGCCTCCACCGAACTCACCACAGCCGCGACCGCCGCATTCACCGCACTCCGCGACACAGCACGCGTTTCCTGACTGGATACCGGAGAACCCGTTGGAGCACACGTCTAGTCACAGAAGAACAGACAGCAACGTCATGCGGCAGCAGCAACAAAGAGAGGGGGTGACGTGAGACGATGCATCGCGTAGGGTTGTTGGGGCGGGCAAAAGCTGACATGTAGGGCACTCCGCGTCGGCAACGGCCTGCATCAGCTTGTGGTCGGAGAAGCCGTGCGCTGCCGACCTGAGTATCGGCGGTCCGAAACAGCGTCTGCTGCACAACTACCACCAGCAACAACCTTGAGACAGCTACTGTGCACCATCGCGCACGGAGCTACCACGGGTGAGGATGGCACAAGACACAAGGAACTCTTGCCAACAGATGGATTGCATCGACAGCGACGACAGTGGGACACAGGGAGCATTTTACACACCAAGTCAGCGCTATTGCGCCATTGCACTGGCAAGCCTTCCGCGTGATTGTTGACTCATCTACCATGAAAGCGCGAAAAAGATTCCTCACCGGTGGGCTCGGTCACAGGGGCAACGGGTTCGGCGACCGGCGAAGGCGGAGGGGCGGAGGCTGCATCACAAAACAGGTAAACAGTGGGAACGTTGGGGCACGGAGGACGCGACATTGCGTTGCGTTGGATGCCTTGCACCCTCAGACGTGATATGTTCGGGGTATCGGAACAACGGCGAGCGTCGAAAGCGGTCCCAGAAGGTACACCAAGCCACAGCGAGTACCATGCAGGGGTCATGCGACGGCACACAACGCAAAAAAAAAACAGGCCTTGCACACAGTCATAGACAACGAGCAGGGCACGTGCACGGGAAGATGACAATCAACTACCGTATGACACAAGATAACACACCCCCTGGACCGATTTTCAAAGCTCGGTTTACTCCACGAAGAGGATGCATAAACGAAATGATACATTTTCGAAAAGCTCTCGACGAGACGGTTTCAACGCCGCCGTTTTCGGCGCTGTGACTGTTCCTACAGGTGAAAAATCGGGCTTCGAAAATCGGTCAAGGGGGTGTGTTATCTCGTGTCATACGGTATACAGTGGGAAGGGGCAACAGGACACGAGCGTCAAAAATCAAGGTCTCACCGTCTATGACACATGGCGCCTCGAGTTTGATCGAGCAGAGCTCGCCGAATTCCTCGATCTCGCCCTCGCAGCAGTTGTGTTCGCCAAGGCCGCCGCCAAGCTCAGCGCAGCCAGACCCACCGCATCCACCGCATTCAGCGAGACAGCAAGAGACCCCTGACTGAACACCGGGGATCCCGTTGGAACACACGTCTGGAGGAACAGGCGCATTGCAACGTAGTGCGGCAGGTAGGAAAGAGACCGGCGGCGTGGAAATGAGGAATCGTGTAGAACGTGTCGAGACCCGTTATGAAACACTTTGTGACAAAGTTAACAAGACCTTCAGAAGGGCGGCGGTACAGTGCCAAGCAACAGGTCAGAAGAAGCGACAATTTAGCCGTCACAACAACCGCCAACAATGAGAAGACTACCACCGCTGACGAACCTACCACGGGCGGGGAGGAATGGCACAACCAACATCGTCAATAGATGACTCCCGCTGACGCCGCAAGCAAGACCGCACCCAAATGATTAGGTCAGCGCTACCACGGCGGCGAAGTCTGCTGTTCTGATTATTGACTCATCCGCCATGAAAGCACGCGACTGATTTCGCACCGGTGGGCTCGGTCACAGGCGCAACGGGCTCGGCAACTGGCGTAGGCGCAGGGGCGGAGCCTGCATAACCGAACAAGTAGCGGCAACGATGACCCACGGGGATTAGGCTTAAATCGTACGCTGGTTGGGCTGCACAGCAGTAGCGCTAAGCGACGATAAAGGTCTCGGACGGGAGACCAAGCCGTGGTGATTCCTGGTACATTCAAGGGCTTGCGCTAAGACAAAAACTAAAATGAAAACGGTGGGCGACGACGAGCAGGCACCTGTGCCGCAGAACGGACAATTCCCGACACCGCCACATGTCTTCCTTTCCCAAAGTAAAAACAAATTAGACACATGTGGAGAACTGAAAGCAGCTACATATATATCTTTGCTGGAGCTCTGATTCCTACAGATGATGAACTCGAATAGTGCACCACGATGACCACAGCTAGCCAATCACACGGGTCGACACCAAACAAGCCTTCCCGTATTCGGCTAACACCTGGCGCTGAACCCATTTCAAAGCAATGCAGCGCAAAACAATAATACAAAGCAAAGCAAGGCCAAAAGGCTGCCACATCCGTGTTGTCGACGTTTCATGCACTGCACCTAGGACGCAGGGTGCCGATCCAAAGATGTCGCACATCGCGTCGTCTTCCACGATAGTGTCCGCGCAGCATTCGAGCTCGGGCGCGGGCTCGCATTCGCACTCGCACTGCAAGTAAGCGTTGGGATGGAGGGGGACGGATGAAAAAGGTTGGCTACGTACGCGTCTTCGGGGCAGGCGAAAACATGATCAATTCTCATTTCTTGGAGACAACCAATTCTTCTCACTGGAGATACTGGAGTTCTGTTCTGCTTGCCTATCCCACAAAAAAGTTTACTCCAGGCTGTCGAGACTACTCCTTTGTGCCTTTGGCTGCCGCCAGTGACCGCCTCACCTGGCCGTCACCAGAATCGGACGAATCAGAGGAGCCACCAGAGTCGGAGGAGTCACCATAGCGAGGCGAGTACCTGCCGGAGAGACTGCAATCGCAGTATTCCTCGTAGCCGTCGTCTCCATCGCCGGACCCAGAATCATCGGATGACGAATCAGAGCCCCAGCCACCGCTTGATGAATGATCGTTGGAGTCCGACGAAGAATCAGCGCCCCTGCCACCGCTTGATGAGTGATCGTTGGAGTCGGACGATCCGCTGTCGTTGCTGCCGCTGCCCCCCCACAGGTGACGACCATGGTCACAGTTGCACGACGCGTCACGCGAGTCGGAGGAATAGCTACTGCCAGAGCGGAGCGCGCGGCGCTTGTATCCGGAGAGACCACAGTCGCAACCATCGCGGGAGTCGTCAGATGAGTCCTTGGAGGAGTCCTTGGAAGACGAGTCCTTGGAAGACGAGTCCTTGGAAGACGAGTCCTTGGAAGACGAGTCCTTGGAAGACGAGTCCTTGGAAGACGAGTCCTTGGAAGACGAGTCCTTGGAAGACGAGTCCTTGGAAGACGAGTCCTTGGAAGACGAGTCCTTGGAAGACGAGTCCTTGGAAGACGAGTCCTTGGAAGACGAGTCCTTGGAAGACGAGTCCTTGGAAGACGAGTCCTTGGAAGACGAGTCCTTGGAAGACGAGTCCTTGGAAGACGAGTCCTTTGAAGACGAATCCTTGGAAGACGAATCCTTGGAGGAGGAGTCGTTGGAGGAGCCCTTGGACCCGTCGCGCCCGTAGGAGAGGCGGCGGCGGTGCTTCGGGGTATCGTAGGAGTCGTCAGATGAGTCCTTGGAGGAGTCCTTGGAGGAGGAGTCCTTGGAGGAGTCCCTGGAAGAGGAGTCCTTCGAAGACGAATCCTTGGAAGACGAGTCCTTGGAAGACGAGTCCTTGGAGGAGGAGTCCTTGGAGGAGGAGTCCTTGGAGGAGTACTTGGACCCGTCGCGCCCGAAGGAGAGGCGGCGGCGGTGCTTCAGGGTCCCACACGAGGGGCCGTTCTTGTCCGACGAGTCTGCTGAGGATGAGGAGTCGCCTCCGCTGTCGCTAGATGAGAGACGGCGCTTCGATCCACAGCTGGTAGAGCACACCCCGCACTCGGCGGGGCAGCAAGCCATGCCGTCGGAAGATTCGACGCCGGGGATGTCGTTGCTGCATTTGGCCCCTCCTGAACGGGAAAGGAAAATCATGCAAGCGCGGCGAAGACGGTGGCATGAGCACCGTGAGGGGCAGTCCTGCAACAAAAAATAGCGTTGTTCTGCTGTAGGCACGCGCGCACCCGTACTGAAAAAGCATGCTAGCTCCCGTGGTGTGTGGTATTTTGCACGACATTTTGTTGTGTGATACAGTAGTTGTCGCGCTAATCTGAGTATATATCGTCATGCGAGATCGTCATGCGAGACGTGTTCCGACGCGTGATTAACTACATGCATGTGTAGCGCTGTGAGTACATCTATCTGCATCGCCGGGAAAAACAGCGTTCTCGTAGGAGCGTACGGTTGTCCGGCATGTGTTGAAATGCAGCACAAGCACAACTTGCACACGAGAGGATATTTTCGCTTGAAATACATGTATCTGCTCCATCAAAAGGGAACTTGCTAGACAGGGCAATGTTGTGTTGGAATTGCAGGAGTAGAACAAAGGCACCAGTGCGATGCATTGCTGCAGGATCTTGTCACAGAGGCAACATACTTGGGTGTGTGAAGGAGTGGGGCAGAGAGAGCCCATTCGGCAAGGGGTGATGAAAGAACATGAAAGAGGTTGCGAGGGAAAAAAAAAACCATCGGCGTGTGACTATCGATAGGATCATTCGAAAAGTGGTTGGCGTCAGTTTCAGGAGCTCGGCGAGCTTTTCCGTTGGCACAAAAGATCGTTCTACAGGAATTTGGCTGCAAGAACAACCCGTGAACAGTGTTTGCTGATTCCATGCCTTTTTATAATGCTGACAGTCCCGCCATTTCTCGTGGTGAGACGGGTACAATACTCCCCAGTGCACGTAGAGTACTACACTATTTCGTACAACTACAACCATCCAGAGCCACACGGGCGGGTGTAAAGAAGGTAAAAGAATACCAACAGTCCCCACCGCTAACGACCAGCCAACACAAAGTATGACTGTTGAGCACGGTTCAAGAATGTAGCTGAGATGTGTGTGGTGGTTGGTAGTGGTAGCGAGGAGCTATGCATGCATCGAACAATGTGTAAGTGTAGGGAAGGAACTGCTGCACCGCACAGAGTCGACGAGAAAGGGTAGAGCCCCTGCATGGCTTACTCCCCAACGTCAAGGGGGAGCAGAATAAGGGGTCTTGATGCTGGCTCTTTTTCTCATCCTTCAATGCAGGATAAGAAAAAAACGACCTTCCCGCCTGAGGAACCTGGACATTAGTACTAGTATCAGTAGAGGACACCATCAAGAGGCTTTGTGCCTGCTGACACCATCAAGAGGCTTTGTGCCTGCTGGCACGTTCAGTTTTGCTACTGGAGCGAAAACATCCTAGGTCGCCGCAGCCCCTGAAAACAGCCAAAAATCTGCGCCGGAACCAAGCGGCACCAAACATTTGTCACAGCCGTGCTCACCGCCACGGACCGCAACCCCTGAATGGACGGTTGTCAACAGTAGCTAGGGGCACCAGCTACTGCGGTAAACCCGGAGTTCAGGAGATTGCGGTCAGTGGGGGCGAGCACAAGCAGTAGAAGACGCTGGGTGCCGGTCTAACTTGAGATGGATTTGCGGAGATTGTAGGCCGCTACAACGACGCTCGAGATCACCACCACAGCGGCAGATAAAAGCGCGCCAACACGCACCCCCCTCTGCTTTAGGATGTCCTCTAGTGATATATGAGTACTGTGCACCAGGTTCATGGCAACACAGCTTTTGAACGCCGTTTTGACTCTTGACTCGAAATTAGAGTGGTGGGAAAAGCTATCTTGATTTCAAAGGGGGCGTGTGGAGGTAGACGCGTGAAAGAGAAGCCTCTACTGCCATCCTGTGCGAGAATCAACGATTTCTGATTTTCGCGATGCCCTCCGACTGGTTTTGTCTCTCGTGTGCATTTCTGGTGCTCTTAGGTTTCTCAAATTTTGTCGACATCAGAGTTCGTGTTCTGCCATCCGTTCAGCCTGCTCAGACCTCGAAACCTAGGCTACAGGGCTCCAGGAGGGGCGCCGACAGGCCAGTGAAGCAACGGTAACAGGTTCTCACACTTTGGGTCCATTTTTCTAATTTCATGTACCTCTTTGGGTAACAAAAAGGCTTGTTATTAACGCTTCGGAAAAGCCGTGCAATTTTTCACGGAACGGTGGAAAGAAAACCCGATTATTTTTCGCTTGATCTATTCGTGATGTCATGGCGAAAATTTCGTTTCCTTCCCTGAATACACGCTTTGCTCGGCACACAACAGGTTGACTTGGTGTTGCTCACAACTAGAGCAGCGGTAAAAGTGCAATGAGTAGCGCCCGACACTTAGAAATATGCTATCCACCCGGCCTTCTGTTTTCAGTTTTCAGCAACAACAGGCGCAGGGCAGTGTGTCGCAACCTGGGTGTTGCTTGCGATTTCTTCAGTTTGCCAGCTCACTGTTCACGGTTGCGACTCCCATCTTTGATGACCACCTGCCCAAAGGTGGACGAGCTCAGCAATCATACGGCGGCAGTCGCGCTGACGACCAGCATCATATAGATGGCCAATCCGAAAGAATTAGCGTGTCGGAGGCCGTGTTGCTCTTCTGCTGCGTGGTACCGTGAGTTGATGTTGACGTGTCCGGCCAAAAACAAATCATCTGGCCGCATTTTTTCCAACGGCATTTTGGTGAGGTGGCACACGTCTCTCACATGAGCAGCACACAAGCACCCAATACCCACGAAGCAGCACGGCGCCGGGAGATGGCATCATATAGACAGCCCAACCGAAGGAATCAGCGCGTTGGAGGTCTAGTTTTGGAATACGCAATGTCTAGTTTTGGACCACGAACGGACTGAGCGCCGCTTTTGCCGCTTGTCTATCTCCACAACAGACCTGACTTGAGTTTGGCATGTCTTTCTAGCGTTCTCAGTTATGGTACAGCGCCCGCGGTGCGCTGATCCGATGCTTCTGTCAAGAATATGAATCCGTGAAAGTAGCAAGCCCAAAAAATCCCGGCTCCTTTTCACGTTTTCGGGGGAAACGCCTGCGTATGTGTTAGGGAAAACGGCTTCCGTGAAATGTAACGTAATTTTTGGTCGTAAATAATAGGGGTTACAGCAGGCCGGTTGGATACGATCTTTTTAAGTTGCTGTCCTCTGTGTCTGGTGCTGCTCATTGCACTTTTACCGCTGCTCTATGGTGAGCAACACCAAATCAACCTGTTGTGTGCCGAGCAAAGCGTGTTCACGGGAAACGTGCTTTTTGCGATGACATCACGAATACACAAACGAAAAACAGTCGGTTTTATTGTTCACCGTTCCGTGGAAAATTGCACGACTTTTCCGTCGCGTTAATAACGAGCCTAAATAAGTCATCCTGTGACCACGGGAATCGAACGCGTCCAGTGTTCTGCTATGTATACGAACAGAGGTACCGGGTAGAGAACGGAACGGTTTGTGATGTGTAGACAACAAAAGCAACAACAACACCACCGAAAGCAGCCCTTGGTCTGCAAGCAGCCTCATCACTTACCGCCGCCGGAGTCGTGGCTGGGGCCCGATTCATCACCGCTGTCGCTCGAGCTACCACTGTCGCTCGAACCGCCGCCGTACTTCCAGGACAGACGACGGTTGCTGTCGGCGTTGATGCCTGTGGGGCCGGCATTCTTGAGCCAATTGGCAGGCGAGAGTTGGCGGTGGAGCTTCGCGCCAAAGGTCTCGACTGCACCGATAGTATCGGCGACCTGTTTAAGCAAAAAAAACAGCCGCGAACGGCAAGGAACCGGAGCATGAAGGCATCTGGGCGCACAAACATACCAGCGCATACGCGGTGTACTATCGTATGTATTGGCTGGTGATACTACTGCGGTAGACCGATTGGGGATGCCAAAGCAGCCAGGTGCTTTTGCCATGCCGCAGCAGCGCCTTCCTCGTCGTAGGTATACATAGGTATACATACAGCAGTGCGATTAACCGGGCGCGTACAATACACCGCTGCAGAGAAACGCCGCGGCGTGCGTCAACTGCTGAGCTGAGGTACAGCAATGTAACCCATAATATGCATACGAGAACCCGTACCCGTTGCAAGGTTGTCGCGAAGGGCGAAACCAACGGCAGTTTGAAGACCCCGGACTACATCCGAACCATGGTGAACTTATTTCTACTTCTACATGCATGTACCTTGTGCAAGTAGGCACAGCAACACAACCGGGAAGAGGTCTACCGCTGCCATCCCGCTCACCGCAGCAGCAGCAGGAAGCTATCACGTACATCACTGCCGCACCGCCCTGCCGGTCATATGCGGCAGTCTATGCACGCACATGCGTTGCCTGTCATCCAGAAAACTGCCAGGTGGCTACAACTACTGTCTTTGTCCCTGCCTTGTTGCTGGTTGACGTATGTGGTGTGTGCAACCAGCGCCAAGGTGCCAAGCTGTGTCCTGTGTGTGTTGCGAAGGTGAAACCTTACATACCGCGAAAGTTACCCAGCAAATCGCAGCCGACAGACCCGTCCCGTGTTGACGGGACCCTATCATCAGTGTTTTGAAACCACTATTGGGGTATGGGACACTCATGGAGGGCGTGTCGTGGTCGTCGCGCGATCGATTTCGAATCGTTTGTTTGGAATCCTCCTGATGCTCACTGCCCTACTCGCGGGCCAAGACAGAGTGTACCAATCTAGGAAGTTAGGAATCCACGCCCGTGAGGTGAGTGAGGACGGACATCTGCCTTTGGTTCAAAACTTTCTTGTAAACCACAAACGCGGGAAAAAAAAAAGGGAAATGGACAAAAGTGGGTATACCCACCCCTTTCTCGGACAAAAGTGGG